ATGAAACTCCGAAAGCAGAGACCGACCTGGGCTGGGACCTGCAGGCGCAGGAGGATGGGGAAAGGGTGTGACCATAGCAAGGACAGCTTCCGTGCTGCAGCCCTGTCTCCCAACCCGAGGATTTCGGTGTCACCCTGGAGGGCATTAACAGAGTGCGTGTCTCCACTTGGGGGACTGGGAAGGGACAAACTCTCTCACTGGAGTCATCCTACAAGATTCCTCTGAGAATGTCTCCCACGGCCATCTAGGGGAAGGTCCCCTGGCCAGGACCTTTGTAAGGGTCCTACTGACAATTACTTCTGAACCACATGTCTGTCTGCGTAGGTCTACTTGGGGTACCTACCCCTGATTCTCATCTCTGTGGAAGTCCAGCTGGCCTCTCCCGCAATGGCATCTATACAGGACTGTGTCGAGGCACTTTAGTCTTGATCTTGATGGGATGCTGTTAGAAGCACTTCATCACCACAGCCCGCCGAGGGAGACATCCCTGGTCAGCTCTGGGGATGAAGGATCTGGTCCACTCCTCCTTTGGACTCACCACAGTGGGACTGGGGCCCCCATCTTTGGAGTCCAAAACTGTTGTTACTGTTCTGATGGCATGTCTTGCTGCCCACAGCTACTCAGTATGTTTCAGCACCTGCACACCTGACCAGGACTCAGACTTGGGGGGGACATGGGTGGCCTGGCTAGGGCCCGGGAGGGCCCTGACTTCTGAAAACTCCTTCCCATTTGGGAAGTAAATCCCAAGCTGCTCTGGGAGTCTCGGTGTCTCTTCCAGACTCTGGCGTCTGGGACCCACTCAAATACCTTGTGGGACAAATGTGGTCATCGTCCTGAAATAGCAGAAGATTCTGGCCCTCCCTAGCTAATGAGAGATGCTGGTCCTGTCCCCACTGAACCCCACTACCCCCATGTTTCCCTTTCTCCAGGGGCCCCCTCAGCTCTACCCAGCCCTCTCTCTTGACCTCAGCTGAAATTGAAACCTTTCCAGTGTCCACCACTATGGAAGGTGGCTCCTGCCTTTCTTCCAAAGTCTTCTTGGCTCAGACACAGAGTATGATAAAGGCAGCTTTTCTCTGCATAGGCTAACCACAAACCTCTGAAACCCCCAGTCCTGCCTCACCTCATCTGGCATGAGATGGCCTGTGTTAAGGGTGGGCAGCATTTTCCAGAATGAAATGTGATTTCTACGTATCCGGAGGCTTCTGTGTGGTTTATTTACACGCGTGTCCTCAGCACTAGGCATCAGTGGATACAGAATGGTTGGCTGGGGAGTGACAGCATCAGGGATGGCCCAGGGGCAGCCTGGGAATGCCCGTGGGCACTCCAGGCTTGTGAGCTCCCAGCTGCCAGGGGCACTGACATGCCTGTGGGAACAACTCAGCTGCTGCTTCCAGGTAGGAATCCAGAGGAAGAACATCAGGGAACCAAAGGGTGTGTCTTCCCAGACCAGTTCTTGGCTCACACCTGAGTGCCAACATCACCCACAGGGATTGCAACCAATGTACTGGATCACTGGGAACCACTGCCCAGCTCACAGGCTGGTCCAGCGGGAGCGCAGTGGGTTTTCTTAGTTTTCTCTGGCTACTGTAAAAACTTATCCCCAGTACCATGTCTTAGAAACACACACTTTACCTCCCAGTTCTGCAGTCCAGAAGCCTAAGTGTGGTGGCACAGAACTGTAACCCCAGCACTTGGGAGGTAGAGGTGGGGAACACCAATAGTTCAAGGCCACTCTTAGCTTCATAGTGAGTTCGAGCAAGGCCAGCCAGGTTATGAGAGATCCTGCCGTAAAATAAAAAATCAATAATCAATCAGTCCCAGGTCCTTCTGAAGACTCTGGGAGAATCTATTTCCTTAGATTTCCAGCAACTAGAACTGCCTTCCTGGCTTCTGGTTTCCTCAAAGCCAGCAACAACCAGGTCAGCCTGGTCTACAGAGCAAGTTCCAGAGACAATACACACACACTAGGTGTGTGTGTGTGTGTGTGTGTGTGTGTGTGTGTGTGTTTGTGTGTGTGTGCATTGCTATACAGTCATTTTTTAAAATTTTTATTTATTTTATTTATTATTATTATTTGGTTTTTCAAGGCAGGGTTTCCTCTGTGTAGACTGGCTGTCCAGGAACTTAACTTACTCTGTAGACCAGGCCGACCTCAAACTTACAGAGATCTGCCTGCCTCTGCCTCCCAAGCACTTGAGAGTAAAGGTGTGTGCATCACCCTCCCTGCTTGAATTTTTTAAATATTTATTTATTTATTTATTTAGGTTTTGTGAGACAGGGTTTCTCTGTGTACCTTTTTTGGAGCCTTTCCTGGAACTCAATCTGTAGACTAGGCTGGCTATGAACTCACAGAGATCTGCCTGCCTCTGCTTCCTGAGTACTGGGAGTAAAGTCATGTACCACCACCATCTGGCCCTGATTCTGCTTGTGTACATGTCTACCATGTGCATGATTTGTGCCCTCAGAGGCCAGAAGAGGGTGTTGGATCCTCTGAAATTGGAATTACAGATGGTTATGGGGTACTATGTCAATGCTGGGAATCGAACCCTATTCCTCAATAAAAAGCAGTCAGTGCTCTTAACCTCTGAGCCATCTCTCCAGCCCCTGAATTTATATTTTTAAGACAATTTTTCCTTGAGTTTTCCAGGCTGGCCTTGTTGAACTTAGAGTCCCGCCTTTCATGCCTCAGCCTTTTGAGCAGCTGGGGTTCGAGGCCTGTGCTGGAATTCTAGTCTCAGCCTCCCATTTTTAGATCCTTTATCACAACTGCAAATCTATTCTGCCACATAAGGTATAGTGCAGGGATTAGGCTGAGAATGTTTTTGGAACCCACTATTCAGCCCAGAGACGAGCCCCCCTCATCCT